TACCTTTGTAGACACAGGAAAATGAAGCGGCAATTTAAATAATCGCCACTTCATTTAAATTACAATGGCTGCCGCGCTGTGCCGATTAGCTGTTTGTCAGCACAGCGCTGTAGTCTGGATGCTCCGCAGTCGACATCAAAGGCATTTGTCGACCTCCTCGGTATGCCTCGGGGGTTGAGGTTTACCGGGGAGGTAGACAAATGCCTTTGATGTGACCGCGGAGCATCCAGACTACAGCGCTGTGCCGACAAATAGCTGATCGGCACAGCGCAGCAACCATTTTACTTTAAATGAAGCAGCAATTATTTAAATCGCTGCTTCATTTTCCTATGTCTACAAAGGTAATCTACATGGCTCTGTCGACAGAGCCATGTAGTGTAGACATACCCTAAGTTATTTCAAAATAATGTCGAAATACTGTCAAGCTGGAGGAGTTCTTATTCCAATTCCTGTAACCCTCATTGTACGAGGAGTAAGGGAAGTCAGAGGAAAAGTGCTCTATTTTGAAATAAGTGTTGTGTAGACACTCCTTATTTTGAAATAAGCTATTGCGAAATAAGCTATGCAATTGATGTAGCTCAATTTGCATAGCTTATTTTGAGTTAAGCCCTGCTTTGTAGACACACCCTAAGAGAAGTTGTTGCAAATCAGAATTTCTCACAATAGTCCTTATTTTAGGACTATGTTTAAAGTTCTTAAACCAGTTGATCTTTTTTTTTTCTGACCTGGGTCTAGCAGATTCTCTCTATCCTCTCTTTGGAGTTCTTTTGTTTCTAGGTATTTTCATGTATCTTCTCGGGGTGGGGAGCAGTTTGTGAAGCCAGCTGAAGACAATTATTGTTTGCTTCCTATTCCTTATATAGAATTTTCCCAGAGCGGGAAATCTTTGTTCTTCCCTGTGGAAAAGTACAAAATTCAGAATGGATTCCAGCATCAGGTGGCATGGTCACCTGTCATTGTAGGACCAACCATAATCAGGCTTACAGGAAAAACAAGACTATTCACAGATCATTGCCTTGAGTACCAAGCCATTAAGTTCATTGAGTACTGCAAATAGGCTTCTTTAGCATATCTAAATATATAAATGGGTTTATACTTCATAATTCTAATTTCATATACAAGAATGATACATGCACACATAGAAAATACTAATTCAGGGAATTAAAAGCTCTCCAATGAAAAGTCATGTGCCTCATTTTGCATAAAGCATATCTGAGTTATGAATACTCATATTCAAAACCACATTTCCATAACAATACAGGGTAAAGCATTACAGGGATCCTCCACGGTCACAATCATCTAAGCATATAAATTCCACAAAGAAGTTGCCTAGCCTCCGTTAAGCAAAAAATAAATGCTCATTCTCTAAACAAAATATCTAAGTAGCTCTTGAACATAGAAGTCAAATATGTTACTGGCATAAATCCTTATTGTTTACACTGATACATATTCAGTCACATAACATGCAGCTTTCTTTTTTCAGCAAGAATTCCTGGTTACAATTAATAACAGAGCAGAGATAAGTAATTTTTTCAGGCTCCTAGAAAAACAGCCCTTCCCTCCCCGCTAGATAATATATGTAATAAACTGCTTTTTATGGATCCCAACTCTCTCCACCTCACCTATCATCAGGGGAAGAATACCTATGATAATCTCCTCTATGTGTCTTGCAATTGATTCAGTCCATGTTTAAAATATGTTTGTGGGCACTTTAAGTAACTATTAATTATTGAATGTTCACCTATTAATGAATTGTATTAACATCATCAATCGATCCATTTCTCAACATATTCCCCAGCTAAAATGTTAAATCTATTAAGCACTACTACAATACTAGTAAATAAAATGTATACCAATAGGATATGTATTTAATTTCAGATATCCCAAAACACAATGTAAACTTTAGCACATCATCTTGGGCTTTGATAGCCTCAGAACTAGCAAGCTAAATAGGATTAGTCTTAGCTGGTATGTGGATGAATTACTTTTAAGGAAAATTCAGGGCATTTAGGCAATGGTCCTGAGATTACATTCAGTAAGTGTCATTCTTCCCTCTGATTCCATAATGAGCCAATGTCTCTCAGTGTTAGATGACATTATGCTGATGGAGTTGCCATCTTTGGCATGGCAAAGGACACTGAGGCACAGGTGTGTTTATTTAGGGGAAACCATGCCAATTTTTAGAATAGAAGGTATCAGCCTGCTGTGCTGACCAAATTCTAAATTGGTCATTTGCACCCTGCTTAGCAAACCTGCCTCCTACAAATACATTCCTTCCACAGTTTCAACTGAAGTGATTCTTAACTTGTCCAAAACGATTAGATGAAGATGGTATGGCTGTTCAGCAGATGTCGTATTCCTTCGTGGCAGTGGCACTGTTTCAGGAGTGAATGAAGTAACTCCTACTCATTTTATAGACTATACAAGGTTTTGGAATTTTTCAGACTATTAGGTTCTATGTAAAATGTCATCTTCTCCACGGTTAGCCTGCAGCCATCTCTGAGGCAGAATGAAGTAACTGATTAATTGTGCACAACAGTCTATTTCTGCTGTCTCCCTTGACATACCATTGTAAATGTAACTTAGGAGCTGAACTTTTGTGTGATCCTTGCTATTTATGTCATAATGTAAGTAGGACTAATATTTATTTATAGCTGTGTTATTATAACAGTCATCACCAATGAAAGATAAGTTGGGGCCTGATCCTGCAAAATACTTACAGTGGCTTCACATCAATGTCCTTCTCTCAGGCTCATGGATCAGCCAATTACGTATGTAATCAGGACAAAGGTTGTATCTTATGTTCCATTAGTTGAATACAGTATCTGTCAGTACCCTGCTGGGTGGCTGATGTGAGTCATGTTTTG